ATTGTCAATAGATACTGGTCGTTTAGATAAAAGCGTCCCAATAGAATATAAGAGTTGACAAGATCAGAGAATGGGTTGTATTAGGGTTGGAATGATCAACACCCCGAAAAAGTTTTGTAGGCGGAGCAAAATTTGAATTCCAGCCTTACTGTTCTGCAATTAACGCACCAATTACAATAGTGAAGATGCCAAAGCACCTTGCTCTCTTTGCCGCATATTAACGCTTTACTAACGCATACAGGGAGGGGGGGGGGCAAAAAAGGACATTTTGCCCGGTCGCACTTCGGCCCTTTTTCTTCGCAGAGATTGCCGTCGTTGACGGAAGTTCCTCAGCAAAATATTCCCTAAATGTCCCTCTATAAGTACACGCAGGCCCTCCTTCACTACCCTCACCGTCTTCAGAATATGACGTCATCTGTCACCGTCGTCGAGCTCAGGGAGGCCTACAGTAACTGCTTCAGCCTGAAGCTCTTACATAATTTCTTGGATCGATTCAACGTGGGATAGTTTCCTAGGGACATTAGCTCTAACTATGCAAACCCCCTCGGAACCCGCCCTTCGGAAACCCGTCGTAACGGTACACGATCAGTCGAGAACCCCATTGAGCTCGACCAGAGCACCATGTTTCCGGGGCAAACTTTTCTGATGCCGTCCACGTAGATGGCCACTATGAAGATTTTCTTATGAAATGAAATGCGCTCTTCAATTCTAAGTTGGGAGCACACGCTTTGAGCTGAGCAAAGTGTGATTAAATCCATTTGAGTCTGGAGACAAAATGTCTTTTTTATTGCCCCCCTGTATGTATATAGTAGCACTTCTCTGTTGCAGGCATAAGTACTGTATCGTTGTCGCTATCACGGAATTACAAGCGTGCTATCATAGAATCCCGCTCGAAATCTCCCGCTTTGTCACGAAAATGCCTAGGGAAAGAGAGACCTGTCATTCGAGAATCAAAAAACATGAAATTAGCAACTTGAGAGCCCTTGAAACCTACAGGAGTCTAACTGAAGAAATAGAAGGTCCTGTCAATGTCAAGCGATTAGCGGTTTGAAGAAGAAGAAAGCAAACGGGGAAAAAGGAAGGACTATATTTTTACTAGTCACGAGTGATCGAAGGGTGGTCTATTCAAGCACTTTGAGGTATCCCTCCTCTCCAGGCGTAGAACGATGCTCATTTGCACCGTATTCCGGAGGAGACAACAACTTTTAGATTCGAGTTCGGTCCGTGGTGATAGTGAACAATCGGCGCGTACCTACGAAGAGGAGCGAGTGTATTTGATCGGCACTAGAAAGGTATGCTACTTGAGGAGAAGTCACTTAGCCCTGAATCTTGTGTTTCATTTGGTGGTAGATTCGATTGCTAGTCAAATAAATTTTTTTTGTTGTACCAGTGAGTGGGACGAGAAGGGGCATTTTTGAAATTCAAATATTCACTAGAAATAGGGTCCTTCACTGTGACCAACATTTTGAAGGGCCCCGGGCCGAAGCAGCGAACTAATGGACGAATCGAACAGCTTGATAACATCAGAAGAAAGCCTGTAAGCGGATTAAATAGCCTGCCACCTAGGAGAAACGTAAAGGTTCTGCCCGATACGAGCAGATGATAAGCAGTAGGGTCCCGGATTGACGATCGGCAAACAGTTGAGGAAGAATGAGGCTAGCAGGACACAAGCAGGCTCTATTCTAACTCACCTCGTCGCCGTTGCAGTCCGGGTCCGGACACCGAACGAGCGGCCATCACTGAGTCGTCTACTGGGTTGTCGTCTTCATCTGAAAACATGTCACTGTAGAAAGGCTACCGTCAGCTGGAACAATATTTCAATCGTTTTGTTGACTAGATTATGAATAAATCAACGGACATCTCTGTTCCTTCCTTGCCACACCTTATCTATCGACAAAACAATTAATTCTCATTTCCCACTGACGAGAATTGCGTTTATTTTAGGAAATCATTCCAAGAAAGGACTACAATGTGGAATGTGAATGGTGCTCGGCCGTTGGCATCGAGCAATATGTTCCAGTACGGAGAGCGCCC